ACCCCGCCCGGGCCGTATGGCTTGTGGTGAAATTCACGTTGTGGCCCGAAACGCGGCCCGCAGCTGCCGAGGGCACGGTCTGCCTGTGATTTCTGTCTCGGTAGTGTCATTTAATGACAGGCCCGATGTGTGTTTGTGGTGGGGTTAACCCGGCTGGCAGCCCAAAACCCCACCACCACTCACTCGCCCTCCCCAATGGGACAGGGGAGAGAATCTGAAGGGTAAAAGTGAGAAAACCCGTGGGTTGAGATTAAAAAAAAAAAAAAAATTAACTAAAATTAAAATTATGATAACAGTAAAAATAGAATATTCAAATGAGCGATGCGCAGTGCAGTTGCTCACCACTCGCTCCGACCAATGCCCAGACAGAGGTCCCGGAGCAGAGACAGTCCTGAAACCAAAAGCTGCAATCCCAGAAGGAGTGAGCCTGAGCGATCCCCCAAAAAATCCCCCACTTTCCAGTCAACCCTCATTAATATATTGAACATGACATGATATAATATAGAATATTTCACTGCCATATTCAAATGCCAATTTGGGTTTGCTAATTACTATGCTCCCCCTAAGTCCTTTGCACCAGTAGTCCAGCAAAACACGGGGAAGTTGGAAATGTCCCTTGTCTTCCAGTAAAAACTAAAAGCATTAGTATTGTATTAACATACTTCTTAAAACAAATCCCACACTGAAACCAAAACATAGCACTATTCTAGCTACTAAAAAGAAAATTAGCTCTATCCTAGCAAAACTAGGACAGCGTTGTACTAGTGGGCAGCATTCAAGTAAAATTGAGAGGTCAGGACAGGGGAATGGCATGCGGTGGTGTGTGTACATCCTATCTTGTGAATAAATGTATTAAAAAAAACTTCTTTTTTTTTTTACTACCTCTTAGCTGGATGTACGCTACCATAAGTTTATTAGTGCATCAGAAAATGACAAATTACAATATTTTAGTCTTAGAGTTGGGCCTGCAGAGCGAGCTGCTTTGTGACACCAGCTGTGTCTCCCACTTTAATCAGAGCACTGCAGTGCTGTTGCTGCTGAACAGATCCAACTTAAAACACTTTCAGATAAAACTCAGAAAGCACGTGCTTTCTGTCAACAGAAGTACCCCCCCTGGGACTGGCAGCTGAAACTCCAGCCTGTGTCTAGAACGCGGCTGCTGCATCACTGGAACTCTGGCAGACTGCATAACCGATAAGCAAGTTTTGACGTTGTTACTTCTCCGTACTTTATGGTTTTGCTTTTTGAAGGCTTCATACAGCTTGCTCACTAGTATTTAAATGTAAAGGTAGGTAGGAAGGAAGCTATAATAACAATTTTCATTGCTCGTTTTCTTTTTTTTTTTTTTACCTGAACATAAAGTTTTTCCAAAAGTGAATAAAAATCAGTATCTTGATTTTACTCTGTAGTTAATGTGGCACCTCCCCTTTGACTCTTGTTGACCTGGCACATTGCCACCTTAAATGAGAATGCATCACTGACTGCAGCAATACTGATTTGTCCAAAGTTTGGGAGATTGTAATGGAAATAACTATCCACTGCATTCCATATAATAAAATACAGAGAAACAACTGTAAATGCAAGAGCTATGTGACAGCAGGGAAAAACAAGGTCTTGTAGCCAGCTGGTAGCATGCAAGTGAAACACTAGGACAAAATAACAATAATTTAGAATCAGAATTAACATAGAAAACATTCATTTCATATTCATAAAGAATTTTTAAAAGTGACTGAAACAGATAGGGGGTTGAAGAAATATTTGGTCAAGGGCAAACGCAAGTGGGATTTTTGTTTCCAGTATTTTATCTCCTAAACATGGTAACAATGTAATTAAAATATCAATGGGGCCCTAACTAAAGTGTCTTAAGTTAACAGATGTACAAAATAAATGTAATTATGGCTGAAGTAATTTTAGCGCATTCCCACATGCCCAGCCTTTCTTTTAACACACTGTTGAGTTGCAGGTAAGTGGGCACTGAGAGGTGTTAAAATCCTTACCGCTCTCAGGAAAAAAAAAAAAAAAAGAGTCGGAGTAACAAGGGCAAGAAAAATTACTTCAGAGAAATGTACTGATATTTTATCAGCCATATGCAATGTGATCCTCCTTGACATTCTTTTTGTAGAGTACAAGTGCATAAAATAGATTATTTTAGCTATCTACTGGGGAAGTCTGATAAGGACACATTAGCATAGACGCGACTAAGCTTCTCTTTCTGCAGGCTAACTGTGGTTTGGGCATCCATATATTTTGTCTTTTGCCTGATGAACTTATGCTACAGTTAACATATTCTTCCTCTACTTGATTATATTTAAATTTCTTTAACATAGGGAACAGGTTTAAAGAAATCCAGTGTATTTTACTTGTTAACTTTTCCTATTATTGTGGCAACTTCTGTCATCAGTGACTTACTGGTATAACGTTGTCAGTATCTTCCAACAAAAGTTAGATTACATCTACATAGTTTAGTCCTAAAGTTACTGGTGAGGAAAAAGAAAAATAATCAAAAAGATAAAGGGGCAAGTGTCTGCGTGGAAAGGTAGAACAAAAAAGGAAAGGGATTGGGCAGACTTAGCGAGTTCCTTAAAACCTAAGGCATTAATCTTATTTAAGGAACAAACCTTTGTTACTGTGGTGGTTGGACTTGGCTAGCTCTGGGCTAGCAGCCAACACAGCCATTCACCCTCCCCAGGGGATAGGGGAGAGAATTGGGGGGCAAGGGTAAGGAGACTCGTAGGTTGAGATAAGAACAATTTAATAACTGAAATAAATGAAAACTTAAAATAACACTGATATTAAAATAGTAATGATAATAATAATAGTAATAAAATATACAAATGAGTGACACACAGTGCAACTACTCACCACCCACCAACCAAGCCCAGCCCGTTCCCTGATAACAATCCCAGAAGAGTGACAATCCTGAACAAAAACTGCAATCCTAGAAGAGCGAGAGCCCAAGTGAAAGTCAGCGAGAGCCAAAAGAGGAAGAGACCCTCACTAATATACTGGACATGACTTGATATGAAACATCCCACTGACATACCCAAACACCAGTTTAGCTTATTAATTGAAACATTCCTCACCCCCTAGATCCTGTGCCCGTAGACCAACAAAACACAAATGCCCTCACTTCCAGTGGCAAAAATGCAAACAATGGTATGCCATTAGCGTTTCTCTCATAACCAATCCCAACTGAAAGCAAAATGCAACACTATTCTAGCTACTAAAAAGAAACCCAGCTCTGTCCCAGCTAAAAACCAGGACAATTACATAAGTTCTTTCTAGGGAAGGTTGAATTCAGTTGCTAATGACATTTCAAGGGTGCCATACTGTGGTGTTGTAGGAACGTCTCTTAGGCTAAAATGAAGTAATCCTTCTGGGAAGTTAAAAGCAGTGTCTTGAGAAAGTGCTTTTATTAGCTGTGATTGATCTTATCAGACAAAAGAGAAATTGTTGCAAGCTAAATGGTCTTCCATTTTTTAAGCTGATTTGCACTTGTAAAACACATCACCTTTAAACCAGTGAACTTGGATATTCTTTCTCAATACTGGTGTAAAGTATTCCTTTCAAGCAACCCAACATTATAACCAAGAAAACTGAGTTTAATAAAACCAAAATCCTTTTTGACTGTCAGGTTCAATTTGAAGCCTACATCTAGTCTGAACAGATTTTGCTTTCTCATATAATAGGATCTTAAAAGTGTTTCACTTGTACTTGGTATAAGACAATACCTCTGTATCTGTCTGTAGGTTGTGAAAGACAGGAAACAGGTCATTTGACTACTTTGATTTTTCATGATATTAGATGGTTTATTCTTTCTCTGCTAAACAAGGGGAAAACTTTTCTTAAGAGGTAGTGCTAACTCAAGTAACTCATGCTTTTGTGCTATCAGTTAGATGAGATACTCATTAAACTTTTCATCCATTTGTTGAAATGAACATTTAGATTCTCAAATAAGCAAATAAAACATTACAGAGTAACTTTATAGAAGGATGCATATATACACATGTAGTTCTAGTCAGTACATAGCTGCAGCCATAAAGTACATACATTCATTTGAGTACTGATACATATGTAAGTCTTTTAGTTAGTGCAAATGCCTGTATTTTACCTCAAATTTACTAATGGAAAAAAAAACCAAACCAAACCAAAACAACAGTTCCAATAACCATACTAGGTGATCCTAGCTGAAAGTGACAACAGAGCTAAATTAGGAAAAAGTTGTAAGTGTTGATACTTCAGTGAAGAGCACATCTCCGATGTGATATTTAGAATTTCTAGCCCACTCACTTCTTCAGAAGCTCCAGAAAATTCTTACACCGTTCACAAAAATGCATTCCGTAAGTGATGGAAGCGATACATATGCTTCATGACTGGCTGAAATTAAGTATGTTCATAAAGTTGCTATATTAGTGAAATAATAGCATTCCACGATTCTTGGCCGGGGGTGAAAGAACCAATTAGTTTTCTTTTATTAGGGAAACTTTATATTCTTAAATGTTTCCTATACCTTAAATAGTACTTTCCTCTTTAAATAGGTTGAGATTAAATAAAGTATCAGTATACTTTATACATAACACATTTAAAAAAAAAAAAAAACGAATCTTGAACATTCCTTTTCTAATAAAGTGCAAAGATGAAATATTAAATTTCTCTTAAATAAAAATAGGAAATATAATAATAAAAAAAATAATCCAGTTACACAGTATTAATGCATCTTTTTCTTGGCTTTGCGCCTCTTGTATTTTTGGTCACGCTCTCTTTGTCTCATTTTGTCCTCCTCATTACTAGTGTCACTGTCACAACTTCTCTGTTCTCTCTTTCTTTTGGAGGTGCTTTCATCCACTTGGTGCACTTCACAGTCACTTGAATGTGGCAGGGCCAATTCAAAAGAGCTCTGTGCAGAATTAAAGTTTGCAGCTTGATTCTGATAGGGAGAAAAGGATACGTTTGAAGGCAGTGGTGGAGTCATCTGATAGCAAGGAAATTGCTGACCCATTGGACTCTGTACTGTGTACTGCTGTGCTAAAAAATGGTTCATCTAGAGAAACAGAAACTTGAGTTAACACTGTAAAGAGGAAGTTCTGAAGAGTTTAATTTTGCATGCATTACAGTTTATACAATGAAAATACTGATAAATTATAAAATAACGTAACAGAATATTTGAGAATAAAGCTTATACATTTTATTATATCAACTAGTATAGCTGGAAAAAGTAGACAATTTTTTCATGGCAAAGTTAGAACAGAGATGTAATCTGATTTAAGATTAAACTGACAATTAGTCCTTGTGTAAGGTAATCAAATACGGCATTTCTTCAACTATGTATTTTATAAACATTTGTAACTGCAGTGCCTATTGTTAATGTAAAGACATGCACACCTGCAATTTTTTTTAACCTGGTTTAACTAATTTTAAAGTTAATGTGGAACAAGGCATTCCAACAAGGTATGGTGAATCCACAGATCAAAGTACTGCATTGGAACAACGCAGTAAGTGCCCAGCTCATTGCTACAATCATAAAAGAATCACAAGCCTCTCATACAAAATGCACAGCCCAAATACAGAAACAGAATTAAAAAGGTCAGAAGAGCAGCTTTCTACTGACTGGCAGTAACCACAAAAAAACGATGGGGAGCATGTCTGCTGTGCGTGCAGGCAGACTCCAAGTGAGTAACCTGCCTGGCTCATCCAAATCCAGGTGAGGTCGATGTGTGAAGGAGACATTCTGCAATACCATCCCTTCTAGCAAGCAGAAAATGGGATGAATTTGGTGATGTGTGCTGGTCTGCTGAGTGTGGTCTCTCAGTTACATACATACTGCATGGTAACAGGAGTGGGTTCCTCAGCGAGCACAGCAGGGCAGATGATACACCCCCGAGCCTTCCAGCCACAGCAGAGGGGATGGGAAAGTTTGTGCAAGCACCAGCTCTTCTGAGGGCACAGCCTGGGAAGAGGGGAGGCAGGCCACCACCACGTCAGGGAACAGACCTTCTCCATTTGCCTGCTGATTGCAGCTAGCAATAGTATCAGTCTCCTCTTCTACAGTTACGAAAGACTGGTCATTCCCCAGACAGACTGGATGGCAGCAGTACTGTCCACAGTTGGTACCTCACATTAAATGCTGGGTTTCTTCAGTCCTACTGATCCATACTCATCAGATGCAGAAGCTCCATGATGTGTTTGGTGAGTAGGGTTTGGGCCACAGGGTGACATCTGAAGAGACCAGTTTCCTTGCCTTGTGGAATATCTCAGACAAGAGATTAGGACAAGGATGGCCCAGTGCACCAGAGCCTGTAAGTGGAATATGGGTTCTCCCTGCCTACTGCTGTGAAAGTAAATGATGAATGTGAGAACTGCAGGGGCATGAAAAGCTTCAGGCCAGAAACCCTCAAACTACTGTTGCCCTAACTTGGGCGGTGCTTATTTGTTGGGCAAGTTTTAGATTTGGTTTTAAGACATTTCAAACTTCTGCTGGGCATTTCTGAATTGAGTTAGAAGTGCTAAGAGGTCCTCTGACTGAATTAGCTGTATATGAAGAAGCTACTGCTTGTATGGTTGTAATTTTATTAGGTTTGCTTGTCTCACCAAAGGCATTTGATTTGGAACATGGTACAGGAGAGAGCTCCATTTGACATTTTTAGCCTTCTTAAGCTGTATACCTTTTAAGACATTCCTGCAGTAAGAAAACAGCTTGGTTTGGTAGATCCCCTGTTACTGTAGTACCCTTAAATGCTAAAATAAATAGACCTAGTATTGTCAAATTCAGCAGCCTAAACCACATTTTAAGACATTAAACAAGCACCGTTGTTTGCAAAAATGGAGAATACATCCAACTTCATTAAAAAGGTCCCAAATTTTTAACAGAAACTCACCATCTTTTGAAAGGTCCCAAATTTTTAACTTTTAACACAAACTCACCATCTTTTGAAAGCCTAAGTATTCATGAGGTAAACTATTGTTCATTGGAAAAGGAGTAACAGGAAATGGAGGATTTCCGTAAGGCTCTTGATACCTAGGAAAAACAAGCAAATGTACAAAGACTAGACATCCACCACATACTGCTTACCAGTGCTAAGACTTAACTCTTGGGCTATAAGAGGAATATCCAAGAAGAGAACTGTGGTATTAACAACTGGACTTCCACAAAAAAACCTGATAAACCAAGGGAAATACACCCAAAGGTTCAATTAATGAGTAATCCTCACATGTACATATGTACTGATGCGAAAGAATTCTGGATTTCACCATGGGAGTTTAGCTTCCACAGAGAGTTCTGTCACATTTGTAAATAAAAATGTTGAAACATTGAAAAATACTGAATCTGGGGTATTCAGCTTTCCATTATAACAGGTTTTTATACCTGTGCATTCATATGTGCATGACAGCTGCTTACACATAAAAAAATAAGATATAAACTCAGTGGGGTTTAAAAATATTATCTCCATTGTCAGATTTTTTTTTTCCCCTAACAAATGCAAACATTGTTTGTACAAACACCATATTTCAGTATTTTCTCATGGTCCTGTATCTTGCAGAAACAAATAAAAATTGGGAAATTCAAACTAACTGAACCTCTGTCAAGCTAAAGAACCAGATGCTGATTAACTACAGCCCCTTGCAAGACATCAGAAAGGATGCATCAGCTGTCATGCAACAGCTGTTTTAATGAAAAGCCTGAAGATTACCACATTAATTGATTTTCTTAATGAGAGGTTTTAAACATTACATACAGTTTATTCACAGGTGATCTCTGTTACCTATATGAAGGTGAATATAAGTCAATGTAGTTCTCAAAACCATGTGTAGGGCTGTTTAGTTCTGACGAGTGAGAACTCCCTGTAAATAAGACAAGAGCATAATGACTATTCAGTTGTGACTATTCAATTAACAAGTTAAAAACACAGGAAGAAGGCTGTGTCATCTGGAGTGTGCTAGTATATCTAAGGTAGTATATAAAGGTAAGATGCCATTTTATTTTACTGCTTGAGATAATAAAAGAATGTTTTCAAGTAAAATTATCATTTATTCACTTACAGAAGCAGTTATCAGGGCTGTTGAAGTAATCAAGAACAGAATTCCCACTCAGTTACAGACACAGGAGATGCTTCTGATTTTAGGAACCTCAGCCATTCTACTTAAACTCAGCAACTGCTCTGTACAGCAAGGAGTGGCACAATGCATAGCAGGAACATGAGCCCTTAATGTTTGGGTTGCAAACACCACCTGATCATTAGCTTTCTAGGTTTATTTTCATAAACATAAAATGAAGAATGTGACTCTGATTTGACTATATTCTTCAAATTACAATCCCTTCCACTTAAAACAGCAACTCTGATAACTCTGTGGCTTTATTATAAAAACTATGAACAACTTGATAGTTGCTGTGCTTATGAATCAACTTCTCCTGCTAGACTGCAAGTTAGTCACACTCGGATTCCCAAATGTAATCTGCTGTGAAAGCCTGTGTTGCTTGTTTTCCATACAGTGTGGTCTGAGCTGGCTTGCACATTATGCTGTTCTGAACCAACCTGTTGTATTCTCTTAGCAAACGAAAAATTTAAAGACTGAATCCTTCCCTATGCAAAAGCCACATGTTTTTGTTTCTTAAAAAAAGACTGAAATTTGTTCTAGCTATAAATTATCATCTTTGTAAAAGAATGTAAGATTGAAAAACAGTCATTAAAAAAATTAAAACATTTACAAAGACTTAATCATTGAGACTACTAAACGTACCAAACCGATACTGCACTTTAATTGGTCTGCCATACAAACGGATTCCATTCAGCAAAGCTATTGCATAAGGCACTGATTCTTTGTGCTTAAAGCAGACAAATCCAAAAGACTTAGGTTTTCCTTCTTTGTCCTTACAAATCGTCACTTTGGTTAATGGTCCAGCCTGAAAGAAATTTGTATTATTTTCTCAAAGAAATTCACAGAGATTGACACTTCATTCCGTTTTGAATATTTCATAATGATGTAGATTTTGCCATAGTCAGAAACAGCGTAAGTTTATCTACTTAATTTTGAAAATGTCTCTCCACATTCCCCAAGTTCAAATTTTGAGCCTTCTACAAACAAAAATCATCTCCACAAATGTTAAAAGGGAACCAAGCATCAGTCCATGGGTGATGTTTGGTCTTATCAATAATAAGTTTTTTAAATTATTTTTAAAATACAGTGATGATAACTGTTGCAAGGGGAAAGACTAATTTACTGACTCCACAGCAGGAGTTATCTTATGCGTGTACAGCTGGTAGTACAATTATTACAGAGGTTTTTTGCACAGCTAACATAACTAAGCAAATAATAATCTCAGCTATGTAAGTGACCTGCTCCATTAATATGCTTCCATTTCGCTTAAATTCCTAAAACGGGCAGCATCAACACTGTGGGAAAGCAAACCTGAATACAGAACAGTACTTCTGGAAACACAAAACAGCCTTCTGTACTGCCTGACCCTCATCACAACTGCTGCATGGCAAGGACTCAAGAGATCCTATCATCTCATCAGAGATAACACACAGTTTCTGCCTCCCTCCCCTCCAAAACCCCACCAACAAAACAAAACCCCAAACCACACCCTTTGGCTGGAATATCTTCATTGGAAAGTTCCACCTCTGCCTATGTGTACCATTTTAATCCTTGCATAGTACTTCTAGAACCAAATTAAAGCAGTGATATTCTATAAATGCTGTCTCCATTTTCAAAGAAACTGTCGTTTTCATAATAGAGATCAAAGATGATGAATTTTCACTACACAAGACAGAATCAGTTTATTAGTCACCAAATTAACAGCTTCTCAACAAAACAAACTATGCATCTGTATGGCTGATTTAGCAGAGTGAGAAGAACTGGCCAACAGCAGTCAGGAGTGTTAAGGATGCAACTTAATTTTAGGAGGACATAATATCCAGACGAGCAATGCAGTGAATGTAAGTTACAAAAAAAAAATCCATCAGTAAAAAAAAACAAAAACAAAACCACAAAGAATGTCTAAGTTACTGTAGTAAATGGAGAATTCATTGTTCTGAATCAAAAACCAGCACTCATCGGTGGAACCGGCTTCCACTACTACTGCTGCTGCTACAGTACATACTTTTCAGTAAAAGTCACTCAGAAGTCATCTACAGCTTCAGGCAAACACGAGTTAACTCATAACGGCTTTACAGCAATTAAATAGCATAAACAAGTGAGCATTCAAAATAAACACACAGCATATGCTCACATAGAGAAAATAAGCTATAGAAAGGAATCTATTTTATTATTCTGCATTTTCAATGATTCCTATGAAACAGCAAATCTGCAATTTGTCTGCTGTGAGCATTTAGAGTGATGATGTGGAGCCATTCCCCTTATTATACCCTCCATGTTGTCAGACTGAAGATATTAATGACTGTCACCTCTGATAATAATGTCTGATTGCCAAAAGCTTTTGCCATCTGTATATAAAGTAATCCTCATTTAAATAAGATGCTTTTGCTGAAAAATGAAACCCCCCACCCCCCCCAACCCTGATGAAAGTAAGAAAGTCATACAGACAAATACAAAGGACTAAAAATAATGTACCATTTTTTATTATTGGTGCAGAGGGTGATCAGGCTATACAGCAGTGGATACTACCCAGGCTGTCCTTTGCAGGAAATCTTCAACATGTTGATCTTGTCTTTCCAAATGGCTTGAAATCTGCTGGGGTTTTTTGTTTCTGTTTTGTGGGATGGTTTTTTGTTTTGTTTTGGGGTTGCTTGTTTGTTTTTAAAGAAGGCATTTCAGTAAGATTCTGAATATGTTTATTTTTGCTTGAGTTGGCTCCTTAAGGCATATTTTTTTTTTGTTCTGCACTACACTTCAGTTTTTAAAAAAACTACATATATCCAGTCTTCTGATTATTATTTGCCTAACGAGGATCTGGTTCTTCAAGAACTAGAAGCAACAAACGCAAGTCCTTTGCAGATCAGTCTTTTAAATATGAAGTCTTCCTGTTCATAAATAAAAATATTAATAGTTTAGAATTAACAACAGATAGTTGCTTGTAATTTGATGGGGGGAAAGCTACGGGTCAGGAAGGCATCTTTAGGACTATGCCATAGCAGGAATATTGAACTGTGCTTGCCCAGAAAGGACAATAATGCAAGGAGAAGCATACGCTGTTGCAGCAAAAGACAAAGAAACCTGAGTGTGAACGAGATGAAGAGAAGGAAAAAGATAAGTAGGTGTTATTGGGATTACCTAGAGACCCAGATAAAAGTCTGCAGCTGGATGACTGCTGCAGATTATGTAGAAGAGTCATGCAAAACTGCGTTCTGAGAGCATCCGCTTATTTTTATCACTTTTGTACCAGAATTTGAATGGTATTACTTATGTTCCTTGGTAAGATAAGCTTTCTTAACCTAACATTTACAGTTAAACAGCAGACTACTGTTTAGCTCATTTTAGGTAAAAGTTAAAAACTGAAAGTTAGAAAGAGATAGGAACAGCTACAAACCCAAAGGGGTAGAATATATCACACGAAAAGGCCTTTCAATGCAAATGGGGTAGCATGCTGAGGTCTTGCCCTGTTAACAAGACACAGATCAGATTAATCAGTGGAATAAAACTGTTAAGTAGAAGTAGTTCTGATTAGCAAATGAAACAGCAAGGGAACAGATGATTCTGCCTGCTTTTTTTTGCACTCTTTATTTTGCAAACTCACCAGAAGGAAGAAAGGTTTATTCTGAGACTGGAGGAGATTAGTGGATCGGTAGAAGCAAGTTTATCACTATACTGTTAACTAAACTGTCCAGTCAGTCTGTGACCTTTTAGCTTGACAGAGGCTGACTGGATCACGCCAGGAGGGAAAAAAGAAAAAAACAAAAACCAAAAACAAACCACAACACAAACACACCATGAACAAAGTCAGGAGAAGCACATCATCAGCAACTATTGTGCATCCACTTTGAAATTTGATGCTTGCCTTAGCGATATAATGTTCCCTCCTCTCCATATCCTCCCCCCTCTTTTCCTTACTACTTTCAGGTTAATAAACCTGGCTTAGCCAGAGATCCTGTCAATGTGTGATCAAAACTGAAGCCAAGTCGGCATCTTAACATTTTCTCTCTTCGCTTTTTTCTTTCCTCCTCAGCATACCTTATTTCTAAAGAAAGAGAGTTAAGCTCAGGTTTGAAACAGGCCCAGCTACTTAGTATTTACCCATCAGCTCCCCGAAAAATCCACCGATGGAATTTTTAATATCTTCTCAAACATTAAAACATAAAACATTTTGATATAAAGGTCATTTATAGGTGGAAGTCCAGAGCCCCACCTGCAGATCATTCCTATTGCGCACTGTTAATAGTTCCAGCCTTGCTCTGCACATTTTCAAGTTTTACACTAAATTTTTCTTAATCAACTTATTGCTCAAATATTTTTTGCTCAAAATATAGTAAAAAAGTATAAAAAAAAAATTCCTTGTGAATTTTCAAAACATCTTTAAATAATTTAACTTCCCCGCTCACTGAGGCCCATCTGCGGCACCAAAACTCGCACAGTCGGGAGGAGACACAACCGAGGAAGGGGAGACAGGCGGGACAGGGGCCGCTCCCACCCGCAGCGCGCCGGGGGTCACGCAGCCGCGGCGGCGGCGAACAGGTGACATACAAGAAGGGCTGCAGCC